TTTGTTTATGTTTGACAAGGTTTTTACTTTGAATCACTAATTAAGTTTTAATGCTGTACTTTAATGTTTTATAATTGCTTTGAAGATTGTTTTAGGTTCATAAGTTTAAGTTCACATAATGATAAAGTTGGTACCTTAAAGATAATAATAATTGCTCAAGTGCCTATCTTAAGACAACGATATTATCCAGGGGGTTGCCAAGCATAAAGGAAAACAGCCAAACCACCCCCCAAACCACCATTAACCTAAACTTAAAAGCTCATTAGTAATTATTGCAACCTTAATAATTTTTTTTTTTTTTTTGAGTTGGAGTCTCACTCAATCGCCCAGATGAGTGCAGTGGACGCTCCCGGCCACTGCAGCCTCAACCTGCTGGGCTCCCACGATCCTTCTGCCTCAGCCTTCTGAGTAGCCGGAATTACAGGCATGCGCTACCACACCCAGCTAATTTTTTTTATTTATTGTAGAGATGAGGTCTTGCCAAGTTGCCCAGGCGGGTCTCGAACTCACGGGCTCAGGCAATTCACTCATCTCGGCCTCCCAAAGCGCGGGACTACAGGTTGAGCCACTGAGCCCGGCCTATAATAATTTTAGTTGTGTTAGTTTTATTTCATTATGTTTAGTTCACTTTATATATTTATTCAGAGTAAAGAGTAGTGTATGTATTTTCACAGTAAGTCACTTTCATAGTTATTCTTTAAATGTTAGCCACTGTTTTTTGGTCAAGTTAATAGGCTTCAAATTTCTACTATCACTAGGTACAATCTATTGTTTTGGTGATTTTAAGGCTTTTTTAAATTAGACAAGTGATGTAGAACAGAAAACAAAATAAGCCTCGTAGATTAAGTGATGCATTAGTTTAAGTAAAACTCCTTTTAAATTTATCTTAAGACTCATTAACTGAAAGTATTTAGTGTTTTTGGTCTGTTTGTTGCTTCTAAGACCACTAGATGGCATAACTTCTAAAGGATGATGTGCGTGAAGGAATTTTCTTTGTCCTTTTCCATATGCGAATGGTATAAAAGCTCTCTGTTAATTAACAATAATGGCATCTGTCTTGCAAGAGTAAGATGTCCAAAGTGCATTCTTTCACCTATGCCATTCACACCTTCGGGATATACCCAAGACCCAGCAGGAGCAGGACTCCAGCAAAGTCCATTATTAGGTAAATGATTTACAGAATTGTTTCCTCCTCTTCTATTTTTGGAAGAATTTGAATTATTAGCTATTTTTCAAATATTGGGTAGAATTCAACAGTAAAGCCATTGTAATATAGTTTTTAAAATCCCATCTTGACTCACTTTTTAGAGGCCAAAGCTGTAGCTAGACAGGGTCTCACTATGTTGCCTAGGCTTGGTCTCAAATTCCTGGCCTCAAGTGATCCTCCTGCCTTGACCTTCCAAAATTCTGGGATTATAAGTGTGAGCCACCACACCTGGCCTCAGGGCCAGGTTCTTTTTCTTTTTGAGTTGGAGTCTCATTCTGTCACCTAGTCTGGAGTGTAGTGGCACAATCATGCTCACCACAGCCTTGACCTCCTGGGCTCAGGGGATCCTCCTGCCTCAGCCTCCCGAATAGCTGGGACTACAGGTGTGCACCACATACAGCTAAGTTTGTAAAAAACTTTTTGTAGAGACAAGTTCTTGCTATGCTGCCCAGGCTGGTTTAGAACTCATGGACTCAAGCAATCCTCCTCCCTTGGCTTCCCAACATGCCCAGCCTGTGCCAGATTCTAGACAACCAGAAACAGTCCCTATGTCCCAGAGTCTGCTGAGATTAAACTAGCCAATCCTAAACCTACATACCCTACCTTGCCAGTTCCTTCCAATGAAGACCACAATAAAGGCACTTGCCCACAATTCTCCTCTCCCTTGTAACCAATCCCATTGCTTCCCAAGTGACTCCACGTGTTGTGCCATGCTCTCCTCAGAGAACTGTGAGTATAACAAACTATAAAACTCTTTCAAGTTTCTCTCTTTCGATCTATGTCTGGCCTCACCATACCTCACACAAGGCAATATGGTTAAAATAGTCAGGTGGCCCTGGACTTGTGAGAAAATTTGTGATTATTAATTCAATCTCTTTAGTATTTATAGGACTTTTTTTTTTCCCAATTTTTTTTGTCAGGTTAGATCATTTATGTCTTTCTAGAAATTTATGTATTTCCTCTAAATTATATAATCTGTTGGCATACAGTTGTCATAGTATTCTCTTACAATCCTTTTAATTTCTGCAAGGTTGATAGTAATGTTCACTCATTACTGTTTCCATTAATGCCATGTCAAACTGTCTTCCTAACTGGCTATTAATACCATGTCAAACTGTCTCCCTAACAGGCTGCCTGTCACTGCAGCAACAGGATAATGGGAAAATAGTCTATTTGGAGTAGTATATAGCGGGGAACAGGCATGACAGTAAAGGAGAATAATAAAAATGGGGCAGGTTTGAAAATAGGCAACTATTTTAAAAGTTTAGCATCTAAATTAAAAGTTTGATACTATAGAATAGAATCTAATATAGATGAGGAGTTAGGAAATTGGGTGAAATTGATGCAAGATGGAAGGTGGGGCACTTATGCTTTATTCTATTGAGGTGGTATATTACATTGATTCATTTTCAGATGTTACCCAACGTTGCATTTCCAGGAAGCAGAAAGTGGGTAACTGGGTATATATTATCCTGATCTATTCCTAATTTTTCAAGGGGGGAATTTAATTATTAGAGGACAATGGGGTCAAGTATATGAATGTTTCTGCAGACAACACCATGACAAATAGCCAACAGTAATAACATCAATTATTGAGCGCTTAACATGAAATAGACCCAAGTTGTAACTGTGGATTTCATCCTTCTATCCAGGTCATGACCATATTTAACTGTATTATGAGGCCAGTAAGACATCAGCTATTTCCTTAATAGGCAGCCCACATCCTTATGAATATTCTAACATTCTGATTTTCACATTCTGTGGCTGTTGTAACAAACTTGGAATTAAAACACCAGGAATATATTCTAATCATAGATCTGGAAGCCAAAAATGCAAAATAAAGGTATTTTATTTTGTTCTTTGCCTCTTCTAGTTTGTGGCGGCTGTTGGCATTCCTTGACTGGAGGCTACACTCCTCCCATATGCCTCTGTGGTCACACTTCCTCCTCTTCTGTCTCACATCTCCCTCTGCCTTTCTCATATAAGGACAATTATCATTGGCTCTAGGGCCCATCCAGATAATTCAGGACGATCTCCTTATCTCCAGATCCTTAATTTAATCATAACTGCAAAGACTCTTTTCCCCAATAAGACAATATTCATAGATGCCAGAAATTAGAATCGTATTTTATTTTGTAGAATGGACATATGTTTTGGAGGAATCACCATTCAATCCACTACAGAAGATTTTGAATAAGTTACAAATGTGACAAAAAGAGTTTTCATTTGGTAAAAAGCCATACTAGAAAGAAACATATCATGACATTATAGACAGCAGAAAATAAGAAACCAAAGCCTTTAAAACATATATGTTTAATGTACAGGATTGGAAAAAGGACTTCTTAATAATAAACAAGATAAATACAAGCTTTCTAAATCTATGAATATTTCATTGCAAATATTAACACCCTAAGCTGCTCTTTCTCTACATAAAGGAGAAACTACAAATCCTGTTCTTTAGGAAGACATGGAGAGCAAGCAATACTGTAAGAACAACCATTGCTATCTTTCTCCTTTCCTTGGTTGATCTAACATTTTACATGAACAAATTATAAAAAGAAGTATTAGACTCCATTGTATTTAAGCACAAAATGAAGCTATACATTTCCCACCGAGGGTACTAAATATTTGATACTTATGAGTATGAATAAATAATTAAATATTAGGTATAAGGCAGATTCGAAAACCAACTGATGTATGAAAAGAAATTGGTACAAATACCTAATAGTAAGTACACATTTCCCTATTGGGATGTCGCCTTTTCTATTCCAGTGGAATCTGCTTCTTTTTTGTCCAAGGTCTTCTCCTGGGGGACTCTAACATGTTGCTTAACATTACCAGGGCAGTCATGTGCAGTGGCTCACACCTGTAATCCCAGCACTTTGGGAGGCGGAGGCGAGAGGATTGCCTGAGTCCAGGGGTTTGAGACCAGCCTGGGGAACTTGGCGACACCTCATCTCTACAATAAATTAAAAAATTAGCCAGGTGTGGTGGCACATGCCTATGGTTCCAGTTACTTGGAAGGCTGAGGCGGAAGGATTACCTGAGCCTAGCAGGTCAAGCTGTGGTGGCCATGATTGTGTCACTCAGCCTGAGTGACAAAGTAAGACTCCTACTCAAAAAACAAAAACAAAAAAATTACCAGGACTTTGGTCAAGGAAAAGCTTTATTTGGGAAACAAAAACTTTTCTATACCAAAAATTGAGACTATCTTTTTTTTTTTTTGAGTTGGAGACTCACTCTGTCGCCCAGACTGGAGTGCAGTGGCACGCTCCCAGTCAACGCAGCCTCGACCTGCGGGACTCCAGTGATCCTTCCACCTCAGCCTTCCAAGTAGCTGGAACTACAGGCATGCACTACCATGCTCAGCTAATTTCTGATTTTATTGTAGAGATGAAGTCTCGCCAAGTTGCCCAGGTGAGTCTCGAACCCACAGGATCAGGCAATTCACTCACTTTAGCCTCCCAAAGCCCTGGGATTACAGGCTGAGCCACTGAGCCCAGCTGAGACTGTCTTTTTTGCTGCTTGTTTCTTTTAATTAGTTATCTACTCCCTTATGTAAGAAAAGCTACTGGGCAAGGAAAAGCACTTTGTGTTGGCTGTCCACAGTGTAATGACTGTTTAATAAGGGAGCCACCTGTATAACCCTTTTCTCATTTGGTCTCATCCAAAGAAAAAGCCAAGGCACAACTCTACAAGTATCTTTGATTGACCCTGGTTCACTTCAGTTATGTCCGCAAATAAACCATTATTGGATCAAGAATCCCTTCCCACTTATTAGAGACCTCTAAGAAACAGATGCTTCAGGCTAGTTCAAGATAATACAGAACAGATCAAAAAAGAAGATGTGGAATATAAGAAAAAGCAAACAAAGAAAATCTAATAAAATATATGTTTTGCTTGAACAGTCATTGGTATAAATCCCTTATCATTGAACTTTTTGAAAGGCTCTTTCTTTTTACTATTTAGAAATTAAGATACTTTCAGTCGTTTGGCTTCCTCTTCCACATTATCTCTAATGTTCTGTAGTTTTCTGGAGTTCTGAACCAGAGACACTAAACTCTCCTTAAAATCACTAGTCCCATGATCTCTGCCAACATTTTGAAGCTCATCAAACAAAGTCAGTGTCTCTTTGAGTTTGGCCTGAACAATTTTTTGCTCTTCTAATTCTGCAAGAAGGGCCTGCTTAGTACACAATTCAGTCTTATATTTCTCCTGTAACTGTTCAATTTCTTTCTGGAGATGCTGAAATTCTTCTTCATTATAAGGATGTATCTCCTTACATTTATCTTCAGGAAGCAAGATGTTTGGGGGGATACGTAAAATCAACTGCAAAAACAGTTGCTCCATTTTGCTAAAAAGATTATCAAAACGTCCTTTCATGAAGCAAAGAAACTTCTCTGTGCATTTGCGAATCTGGACCGGGCTAATCTCACAGTCTGGGATACCATCCAGCTTCTTCAGAATAACCTGTTCAACAGCTTGCATCACTTCAAATAGATAGTCTTGAAATGCAATATAGATCCTAAGCATGCATGTTTGTGGTGTAAAGCCAAAGAACTGGGCCTCATAGGTCATTGGATCAATAGACATCTTGGCTTATTTTGCTGTGCTATTTCACCTGTAACAAATCTGCAAATGAAAAAAGAAAAGATTTATTTGGATAAAAAAAATTATGAGAAAAGTAACAAATCACATAATAAATAGCAAACAAACATGGAAGCAAATAAAAAATAACAAATTTTCGTTCCTTTATATCTGATGCCACTTCCAGTCTTACAATAGGATACAATATCCTTGCTTTTCTGAGGCCCTTTCCATCAGCCTAAACGCTCCCTTTTCCCTTCCTCATTGTTCATTACCCTCACTTCTGTGACTTTAGCACATAGCTCCATCTTCTGAATTCTGTTATCCTAAACAACTGTGAAGTCTAGTCTAGATAGATGACTTAACCGATGCCCTATAGCAAGGGTTCCTGTCCGTGGCCTGTTAGGAACCAGGTCACATAGGAGGAGGTGAGATTGGCAAGCGAGTAAAGCTTCATCTGTATTTATAGCCATTCTTCATCGTTCACATTACCACCTGAGTTCCATCTCCTGTCAGATCAGTGGTGGCATTAGATTCTCACAGGAGCATGAATCCTATCATGAACTGTGCATGCAAGGGATCTAGGTTGTGCACTCCTTATGAGAATCTAATGTCTGATGATCATAATAAATCAACTGCTTGGGTCAGGCATGGTGGCTCACTCTGTAATCCCAGCACTTTGGGAGGCAGAGGTAAGAGGATTGCCTGAGCGCAGGAGTTCGAGACCAGCCTGGGTCACTTGGCAAGACCTTGTCTCTACAATAAATTGAGAAAAATTAGCTGGGTGTGATAGCACATGCCTGTAGTTCTAGCTCCTTGGAAGGGTGAAGCAGAAGGATTGCCTGAGCCCAGCAAGTCAAGGCTGCGGTGGCCAAGAGCGTGTCACTACACTCCAGCCTGGGTGACAGAGTTAGACGCCGACTCAAAAAAAAAAAAAAAAAATTAACTGCTTTCAGACTCATATCAAAACCCTATCAGTGGCAAGTGAGTCGATGTACTTCAATTATACAGCTGCATCTGGTGGCAGGCTTTAAGTCAGAATCCAACACTTATTTCACATGTGGCCCACCCATTTTTTAATTTACCACTACCGTCTGCACCTTTTTTTAAATGGTGAGTTGCATAATTATTTCATTATATATTACAATATGTTAATAGAAATAAAGTGCACAATAAATGTTATGCGTTTGAATCAACCTGAAACCATCCCATCTCTCACCCCCACCAGGACCGTAAAAAAAATTTTCTTCCATAAAATCAGTCCCTGATGCCAAAAAAGGTTGGGGACTGCAGCTGTCCTAGAGACTCTCTGTTTTTTGAGCATCAATGACCTATATTTCTACCTTTTAGCCACTTGGTTCTTAATTTTTGTAATTATTCTTCCCAACTGCTCCTATTTTTTGACTACAACCTCCTATGCTATTTTTCCAGCTCTAATTCATATATATTATGCATTAATCTTCAAGATTTACAGCCCTCCAACACTCTCTCGCTCTCTCAGTCTCTCCCACTTCACTTCTTTACCTATTCATTTTAGGCCCCAAGATCTATCACTCTGACCACTCCCTTATCAATGTAGTCATTTCTCTTGTCTTCCAACCTAGCCCCACCTAGGCAACTTGGCAAGACCTCATCTCTACAATAAATCAAAAAATTAGCCGGGTGTGGTAGCACGCGCCTGTAGTTCCAGCTACTTGGAAGGCTGAGGCGGAAGGATCGCCGGAGCCCAGCAGGTTGAGGCTGCAGTGGCCGGGAGCTTGTCATTGGACTCCAGTCTGGGCGACAGAGTGAGATTCCAACTCAAAAAAATAAATAAATAAAGATAAGCAAGACTTCTGTGAGATTTAAAACTCTGACATGTTTTTTCAAGAGTCTGGGAGTCATTCCTTTCATATGTAAATACTTGGAAAACAGAACCCTTATCTCCCCATCACTGTGAGAATTTAACTCAGACATCTTTTTCTGAGTAACTATATGCTTGCATAGAAATAAGAGAAATTTCATTGTTCTTTCAGATATAGGCAATTAGCTAAAATAAACTCTTACTTCAATTACCAGATGAATTTAAGACGGACTTCATGAAATAAGTTGCCGCAAATGGTGCAGACAAATCTTATGGGAAGACAAGATGGTGTTGATTTTTTCTAAATTTATAGCTGGACACAGTGGCTCATGCCTGTAATCCCAGCACTTCGGGAGGCGGAGACAAGAGGACTGCCTGAGTACCCAGGGTTCGAGACCAGCCTGGCAATATAGTGAGACTTCCTCTCTAAAATAAATCAAAAAATTAGCCAGGTGTGGGGACACATGCCTGTGGTTCCAGCTACTTGGAAGGCTGAGGCGGAAGGATTGCCTGAGCCTAGCAGGTTGAGGCTGCAGTGGCTGTGAGCGTGTCACTGCACTTCAGCCTGAGAGACAGACTGAGACTCCAACTCAAAAAAAAAAAGGGTGATTATAACTGCTCAACTGTATAAATAGGGTAGAATTTCTGTTTTTTAATCTCATTCACAGATTACCCAGTATAATCTAGGTGTGCTTTATTTAATAACAAAATTGTTCTCTTTTCTGTTTTAGAGAGGATTCTGTGTTGGCAGAATTTTTATTTCCTCACCATTTCCCTGTGCCTACAGGATCAAGTTCAAATTCTTTCAACATGGCTTGCAAGGGCTTTAATCACCTGGCCATTACTAACTTGCACTCTGTTCTTTTTCAGTACCCTACAAAAGTGCATAATTGAGTTGATAATACTTCCTATTTCATGGCACTTTATTTTTGGTCCAAGCTAAATACTCTGCCTTATTTTATTATTCTACCTTTCTTTTCCCATCTTTATTAGTAACCTAATCTACTGTTGTTTTTTTTGTTTTTAAGAGATGGCAGTCTCACTGTGTTGCCCATACTGGTCCCGAATACCTAGGCTAAAGCAATTCTCCCCTCTCAGTCTCCTGAATAGCTGGGAACTATAGAAGTGACCCACGAGGCCTTTTCAATATATGCCTTTTCTTTTTTTTTTTTTTAGTTGGAGTTTCACTCTGTTGCTCAGACTGGAATGCACTGGCATGCTCCTGGTCACCGCAGCCTCGACCTGCTGGGTTCAGGTGATCCTTCTGCCTCAGCCTTTCAAGTAGCTGGAACTACAGTGCGCACTACCACACCCAGCTTTATATATATATATATTTTTTTTTTTTTTAATTGTAGAGACGAGGTCTTGCCAAGTTACCTGGGTGGGTCTGAACCTGCAGGCTCAGGCAATCCACTCGCCTTAGCCTCCCAAAGTGCTGGGATTACAGGCTGAGCCACCAAGCCTAGCCTGCCTTTTCAATATATGTCATTACAAACTCCCTAAAAGATGGACCAACTCTTCAATGGAAAGCATCTACAATTTGCACTCTAAGATTCTCAGGAACCAGTGCCTCAACAGTTTCCATTAATCCTGAACCACAATCCCTACCCAATTCTAATCAAATCTCCTCACAGAAAGACCAACCTTAAATCAAACTTCTAATTCTCACAAACCCCCGAGCTTGCCTTTCTTCCCTTTGAGACACCACCAAAGCTCTCTTGAGGTGGCGTGCTCCCCTACTACGGTAAGCAATAAATCAGCATTTTTTTTTTTTTTTTTGAGACAGAGTCTTGCTCTGTCGTCCCATTGGAGTGCAGTGGAATAGTTCACTGCAGCCTTGACTTCCTGGGCTCAGGCGATTCTCCCACTACAGCCTCCGGTGTAGCTGGGACTACAGGTGCGCACCACCATGCCCTGCTTAAATCAGCATTGTTTTTGTTGTTGTTGTTGTTGTTGTTGCTGTTTTTTGAGTTGGAGTCTTGCTCCGATGCCCAGACTGGAGTGCAGTGGCCGCTCCCGGCCAGCAGCCTCGACCAGCTGGGCTCCGGCGATCCTTCCGCCTCAGCCTTCCGAGTAGCCGGAATTACGGGCGCGCGCTACCACGCCCGGCTGATTTTTGATTTATTGTAGAGATGAGGTCTCACTGCCCAGGCGGGTCTCGAACCCGCGGGCTCAGGCAATCCACTCACCTCGGCCTCCCAAAGCGCGGGATTACAGGCTGGGCCACCAAGTCCAGCCAACCAGCATTGTTTTATCAACAGGTAGTGAAGTGATACTTGGGGGAATTTCTTCTGGAATTACCCATTCATTTCCTTTCTAAAAACCACTCTCTTCAGACTTTTACTTGGTTCCTTCCTCATATACTACCAGATTTGATTGTCACTCCCTTGTTCCAAAAATCTTTAGTGCTTTCTTATGACTCACCGAATAAGTACGATGTTAACGTCTCCTGCCATGACCTGGCTACTCTTTGTTCCAACCATACTGACCTATTTTCTTTTTCTTTTTTTGGAGTCGGAGTCTCACTCTGTCACCCAGACTGGAGAGCTGTGGCACGCTCCCGGCCACCGCAGTCTCGACCTGCTGGGCTCTGACGATCCTTCCGCCTCAGCCTTCCAAGTGGCTGAAACTACAGGCACGCGCCACCACGCCCAGCTAATTTTTTGATTTATGGCAGACATAAGATCTCGCCAAGTTGCCCAGGCTGGTTTCGAACCCGTGGGCTCAGGCAATTCTCTCACCTTCCGTCTCCCAAAGTGCTGGGATTATTATAGGTGTGAGCCAGCGCGCCCACCCGACCTACTTTCTTTCCCTCAAGAAGGGGTGCCTTGGCTAGATGTCCTTCAAGGGCCAGTTCAAATACATTTCCCTGATGAATTCGCTCGTTCGTTTTTTATCTATTTATTTATTATTCCCTCACAAGTAATCGAGCAAGAATTCCCACCAGGACCTCTCTTCGGGCACTGACTCATCGACTTCTACCGCCTCATCCTCTCTGCTGGCCTTAGAGTTCCTGAGGGCAGAATGAGTCCCGCCCAGTCAGTATCTGCAGGTTAAACGCGACGAGTTTAGCCAACAGCTGGTGACCGCGCTGGACAGGACCCAGAAGCCGCAGAGGAACTGCTTCCGGCCGGCTCCCGGTGCATGCCGGGATCTTAGGCTCGAAGCCTGCAGCCGGGTTAGAGAGACCGACCCAGCGGGCCGCTCCGGCTCTCCCGCGAGGATGCCTAGTCCGGTCCCACCCCTTCCCGCCCTGCCTCAGACCAAAGGCATCCCGTGGCACTCACCGCAGCGACCATGAGGTTGAAAAATTCATCCACACAGCGGTTTCCCGCCACCGCCTTTAAACCACTTCTATATGCCAGAGATAGGCGACGAGGTTGGCTCCCCAAAATTCCGACTGATACGTGCCTCAGCGAACGAAAGCAAACGCGGGACGCTATCACGCCCCTGATTGGCTGGCTGTCGGATCGGGCGGGGCACGTCAAGTAGTCACAACGAAGGGCCGGGCGGGAAAGCTCGCTGTGGCTTGCTGGGATTGGCAGAAAGAACCGGTACTTACTTTTTTCCCTCGACGTTGGTGGGTAGAGATGCAACAATGGAGCGCTGCGTAGACGCAACTCATGATTGGTGCGTGTACCTGCCTTAGAGCGCTCGGGATTGGTGGCTGACCAATTCCGCGGTGCTGATTGGATAGCAGCGGATGGGCTAACTGGGGTTGTGCTTTGAGCCCCGCCCCGCCGTCTGGGCCTTCTGGCGGAAGGGGAAGTGGGGGCTGGGGGGGAAAACTGGCGGCGGCGGGGAAGATGGCGTACCAGAGCCTCCGGCTGGAGTACCTGCAGATTCCCCCCGTCAGCCGCGCTTACACCACTGCCTGTGTCCTCACCACCGCCGCTGTGGTGAGCAGCCGAAACGCCACCTTCTCATTATCCAGGCTGGATATGACTGGGTCTTCGGGAAATGGATATTTGGGCCTCGAGGAGGCTCCGAGGGGCTGGTCCCAGGGGGTGGGTGGAGGCGTGCAGGGCTTACTCTGGGGTTTGAGGTGGCACCGAAAATGCTTTTTCGGTGACCCGAGAAGGGAATGCTGCTTCATGAGGGGGTCAGGTCAGTTTCTGAGCCGTGAAGGCCGGACTTATAGCGGGTCAGGACTGCGGGAGCCGCCCACCCAAGATATGTGTCCGAAAGCTCTGGCGTTGGCCGGGTGATACCGTGATCGCTAGTGAGAAGAAGGTCCGCTTAGTGAAGAAACTTGGATATTGAGGAAAGCAAGCTGGAAATTTTCGAAGGGAAACGGCTTAAAATAAAGAGGATCTGTGAATAATAAGGGGCTGACCGGGGGCACCCAGATTTAACCGTGGCAGGGTCTTGAGTCTCCGTTATCTCGAATGGGTTGTGTTGTTTCACACACTGTTTAAGGTGGTGCCCACGTGATGGGCAAATTCGTAGCAGCTGTTCTTGTTCTGTGTCTAAAGTATCACCACCTGTTGGCCTCCCATGCCTTGATGCCAAACGCAACTATTGCAACATGAAACCACCTTTTTTGTTAGATATTGAGGATACAGAGAATCCTACCAATTCTTGAGAATTCTTTACCAACCTCTTTCCATGGCCTAAGAAGAAAGGCTTAAAAGAAATCAGGGCCGGGCATGGTGGCTCACGTCTGTAATCCCAGCACTTTGGAAGGCGGAGACGAGAGGATTGCCTGAGTCCAGGGGTTCAAGACCAGCCTGGGCAACTTGTCGACACTGTCTCTACAATAAATAAAAAACAAAATCGCCGGGTGTGGTGGTGCACACCTGTGGTTCCAGCTACTTGGAAGGTTGAGGTGGAAGGATCATCTGATCCCAGCAAGTCGAGGCTGCGGGGGCCATGAGTGTACTATTGCATTCCAGCCTGGGCGATAGAGTGAGACTCCTACTTAAAAAAAAAAAAAAGAAATCAGGCTAAGTGACTGAATTGGAAATTGCTGCACCTGTGAGTCCTTTGTTGTAAATGATGAAATTTTGTTTCTTGATTGATTTGCCTTAAGAAGTTCTTTTTCTATTTCAGCAGTTGGAATTGATCACACCTTTTCAATTGTACTTCAATCCTGAATTAATCTTTAAACACTTTCAAGTAAGTGGTTTATCATCATCGTGTTTCTTCTTTTTCTTACTGTGTAGTAGCAAATCCAGTTATGTCCTATGCCAAAAAAGAATCCAACGGGGACCTTTGATTATAAGTCTTATTGTCGGGGTGCACTGATTGATAGCCTGGTTGAACTTCAGAATCACTTAGGGAACTTTTAAAATATTCTCAAGCTTCTCATCAAGTACCAACTCAGAATCAGCAAGGGTAGGACTTTTGTTTTGAAGTTGCCTGCATTGTTTTGATGTGTCCAATTTCTGTATTTGGGTATCACTTGTGTAGAGTTACTATTATAGTTTAAGAGGAGACTGACCAGCTAGCTGCTTAGGAGGTGTCTCATAGTATGACCTTATTTTGTCCATTCACCACCCATCCACCCACCTCTTTGGTGTTATCACCATGGTCCAGTTCAGAAACTCTATTCTGTTAGTACTTCTAAATTGATCCATTGTAGGATTTAGAGTCTTTAATACTCAATGATCTATCTCAGAAACAAAGAACAGAGTACCACATGTTCTCACTCATAAGCAGACTCTGAACATTTACCATAATACTATAAGAAAGGGATTGGCAGTCCTGGGGTGAGGGACACAACATCATTAAGTTGTCCTTGATTTCAAACCAAAGTCAGGATCAAAAGGAGGCCCAAACTTTACCTGTAAGATGTCCACTTGTGTACCTAATCCTGAATTGTACCACACATCATTAAAATGGAATTTTTTTTTAAAAATTGATCCATCGTCCAGGGATCAGATCATACAAAACTCCAAAAGACCAACATTTACAACATATTGGTTGATTAGATTACAATGGGAGATAGTCCTTTACAGTGATAAAAATGTTAAAAGAGAGATGTATTTTCCTGCTCCAGGGTGATTATACAGGTTATAGTTGGAGTGGGGAAAAGACCAAAAGTAAATGATTCTGCTTATACACATGCAGAATCTGTCTCAAATGTGTTTCATTCACTTTATATTCATTAAACTCTAGCTTCCCTTTGAAAATGCAGCTTTTATGTAGCCTTCTTGTATTTATCCTCTATTGTTTTAGAGCATCTCAGATCTACTTGCAGTTATTCTTATGCTTGTCTCCTCACTAGGATGAGGACTCTAAATCTGGGATGCAATTAATATACAGAGCTGAATTGTTTCAACTTTAATAGTTACCAATTCTCAAGAATTTAATGATGCATAAGGCAGTCCTGTCATCTCTTGTCACTGTCTTCTTCCTTCAATACTATGCTCACATGGCCTTTGCTGGACACTGTAGTCTTGCCTCCTACTAGCTTGGTTGGCTTGACTTTTTCTGGGGATACACTCTTGGTGACACTACATTTGTATTCAGAATTGGGAGTTCTAGATTAGAGACCAGAGTCTCCATCTACAAGCTGCAGGTCTTTGGTAAAGCCATTTTAACCCTTTGCACCCAGAGACGTCTTGCAGATCACCTACCAGCAACTTAGCTGTGCTTTCTTAATCACTTCATATTAAATAGTATAGCGTTGAAACCAATTTTTTATGTAATGAACTTTGGCTTATAACGGAATTTTGGACATTGAGGAACTTATTTATGACAAAATCAAAATTTTATGTCTTATATTTTTCTAATGTATGGTAATCTGTGAAAGTCACTGACATGACTTTCTGAACATGCATTGCAGGTTCATTAATACATGTTGTGTATTCGTAATTTGTTTGACATCTTCTGCCTGGTGTTTTTCTTTTTGGGGGGGGGATAGGAGTCTCACTTTGTCACCCAGACCGGAGTGCAGTGGCACGCTCATGGCCACCACAGCCTCAACTTGCTGGGCTCTGTCGATCCTTCCACCTCAGCCCTCCAAGTAGCTGGAACTACAGGTGTGTGCCACCATGCCTGGCTAATTTTTTTTTTAATTTATTGTAGAGACAAGGTCTCGCCCAGTTGCCCAGGCTGGTCTCGAACCCCTGGGCTCAGGCAATATTCTTGCCTCAGGCTCCCAAAATGCTGGGATTGCAGGCTTGAGCCACCACGCCCGGCCATGCCTGATGTTTTTCTATTCAAGCAGACGATACAGTCTCATTTTCTTCCTCCTACATTAATAGTATGTAATTCATTGTCCAGTCCATGCACCACTGTGAATGCACTTAACACATTCTCTTTCTACTTAATGCCAGCTGATATTTTTTTATGTATATCTCAGTATATATTCCATGTCTTCATTTGCTTTTTTCATGCAATTTGGATGGTAAACTTCAAGGAAACATACCTTTTGAAAAATTTGTGCTGGCATAAGTTTGTTCTGTATAATCATCAACAATCTCTTTATGTGCCCTGAGAGGGGACATCCTAGTGGTTTGCTTGATTTATGATGCCCACCTCAGAGTGGACAAACAAGTGCAAAGGGTTAAAGTTATTTAAGTCTTTTAGTTTCTTTATCTGTGAAATGGGAGTGAAGTCCCAGTCTGTTTGTCTCATAAGATTATTAAGATCTCATGAGATAGTAGATTGTGCTAAAACACTTAAAAATGTTAAGTACTCTACCATTGTGAGTAGTTATTGTGGGTGTGAATGGGTTGGGTAGGGAAGGGTATATCAGAGTTTTCAAACTTTTATCTCCCAATTAGACTCTTAATTATTAGTTCTTATAGGGAGTTGACCATTTGTTTACACTAGAACTTGAGTATTTACCTTAGAATTTTCTTTCCTCTGATGTTTCTGACTGCCTAATGTAGAAACATTTCTTGGCAGTTTATATTAGATCCCTGAAATTGTTCTCTGGTATCTCAGGACTATCTGTTACATTGTGATACTACATATATATGTATATATATGAATGCACTCTTGTCTGTCTTTTTTTTTTTTTAGTTTAAACAAGCATTTATTTCTGACAGTTCTAGAGGTTGGAAGTTAAAAGAGGGAGGGGGAATGAGAGAGGCAAAGGGAGTGGGTGGTGGAGAGGAGGAGGGCTCGGAGAGGGAGAGGGAGATTAAATGCACTATTTTCTATTCTGCAAATTAACCAAGTCTTTCCATCAAACTTTCTCTATAATTTGCCTGACAATATTGTGCAGGCTTTCTTTAAGACAATCACGATCTAAAATTTTCTGTTCTATTCATGATCCAAATGATAATCTTTCAGACTTCTGGCTAAAAGCAGCACAAAAATCCGGTGTCAGATTGCCTGTCCCAGTTTTTGGTTCAGAAAAGAATATTACACTGCCCAAGGTCTTAAAACCATCATAGTCATAGAATGTCTCTTTTGTCATAATATGGAAGTGTTTCCTGCTAATTTATTTTACTTAATCCATCTTTCCTGTGTGTGTGTGTGTTTTTTTTAAACAGATATGGAGGTTAATCACCAATTTCTTATTTTTTGGCCCAGTTGGATTCAACTTTTTATTTAACATGATTTTTCTGTATCCTTTATTAAGTGGGGTCATCATCAAAACTTTAGGTTTACTTTGGAAACACAGTATTAAGTTGAAACTATTAATCCTGTTATTTATTTTTGGTGCCATCTTAGCTGTAACTTCTGGGTCAATAGTATGTAAAGCAGTTGGTCAGATAGTAATATTTTGAAAGTGTTTGTAGCTGGGCTCGGTGGCTCAGCCTATAATCCGGCGCTTTGGGAGGCTGAGGTGAATGGATTGCCTGAGCTCACGGGTTTGAGACCCACCTGGGCAACTTGGCGAGACCTCATCTCTACAATAAATCAAAAAAGTTAGCCGGGCGTGGTAGTGTGCGCCTGTAGTCCCAACTACTTGGAAGGCTGAGCGGAAGGATCGCTGGAGCCCAGCAGGTCGAGGCTGTGGTGGCCAGGAGCATGCCACTGCACTCCAATCTGGGCAACAGAGTGAGACTTCAACTCAAAAAAAAAAAAAGAAAGTGTTTGTAGGTCACTGTTCAAATGGGAGATGTTAGCCATAAAAAGATAGTATTTCTGTCCTTAAGTTGCTTACAGATCTGATCAAGGGAGGGGAGAAGTGATTTAATTAACACAGCAGGTGCAAAGTGGTAAAAACAACCTGAATATAGTAATTATTCAGTTAGCAGAGTTTGGGAGTAGGTTCATGAAAAATGGGGAACTTGATATCTCCTTGGTTCTTAGTTGCTGGTTCTACTGTCTGAAAAGTCAGTGTTATATCTACCGGGCTTGTCTTGTTGTAGTTGTCGAAAGAGGAAGAGCCATGCTCTAATCAAATGGTAATTGAGGCCACTGAGCAGGACTTTCCTCTATCCCAACCTCTGGATTAAGAGGAGCATTATAGTTCAGTTCATTTGCAGTGAACGTAGGGAATCATTGTAGGGGTGAAAAGATACTTGCCCTAGGATGGATTCCTCTGTCTCCTATATAATGTATCATTCTGGTAAGTTTCTAATAAAGTTTCTTCATCATACTGCATCTTTATTGGCTGTGGTATAAAGATGCTTAACTTGCCAGGCCTGGAAAAGTAGTTTATCACACAAGACTTCTTGCTGGTAATTTCTTCCAAGTTGGGTTGTAGAAAAACAAAGGTAGTGCAGATTAAGGTGTGGCTGAGTGTGGGAAAGATAATACAAATTTTAGAAGGCTTAGGGAACTGGAAGCATGTTTATGCAGCATCTGGATTAGTTCCCTAGCCAGGGACAGTCTGTAAAATATGGTGCTTACTTTTGAGCTTTCCTAAAATGCTTGGTAAAAGAAGAGTAATCACATTACCACTCAAAATAGAAGTGAAGTCTTGACTTCTTACAAATAATGTGAAGTCCAAGTGTATTTAAATGATAACATTAAATCTTACTTTCTTCATATTTGCGTACTTGACATTTCTTAACTTGGAACTTAGATATCGTTACTGTCGAATGCTAGAAGAAGGCTCTTTCCGAGGTCGGACAGCAGATTTTGTATTTATGTTCCTTTTTGGTGGACTCTTAATGACTGTATCCTTTAACAAACAGGAAAATGTTAAAGAACACCTTGTGTCTTCCTAAAAGTGTTACTTTGTTTCCATGATTCACTAGATATTCTAAACAAACAGGTAAAAGTAGACCTCTAGATTTTAGCTTCAGGGCGCTACCATTTATTTTACAGCACATTTTCTATGACAACTTTCCAAGCCTAGAGTTCAGACAGGATGAGCAAGTCGGAGGAACTTTTAACCCAGGTGGGTTACTGTTGGGCATCTCAGTTATATCATTGTTGATGAGTATACTTCACTTTTAAGCTAAGTTGGTAAGACATTTATTTGGTCACTATCAAAACTGGTAAATTATAATTTTTTAAAATTTTGATCTGTATAACAGATTTGGATGTAGTACTATCTGATGAGGTGTTATTCCTACTGGCTTTATTCACCTCTATATAGGTGTTAATGGTGAGTACGCTTTAATTATTCATCAAAGAATTAAAATATTTTTCAAAGAGGTAAAAACTTCATGAAAGCAGAATATTTGTTTGAAGTAGTTGTAATCCAGATGTTTTACCTAAGCAGGTTTTTGCCTGATAAACTTTTTTCAGTCCTTTATTCTGTTATAAAAATGTAACTGCTTCACTTTCCCAATTTAGACTTTTGTTGGAACACAGTATTTAGTTTTCTTGTTTAATCTTCCGTAGTATGCTTTTAATGCTGATGTTTTCCTTAATGCTATCTGCTAGCTTTTTGGTTTGTTTGTGAGCTTAGTTTTCTTGGGCCAGGCCTTCACAATAATGCTCGTCTACGTGTGGAGCCGAAGGAACCCATATGTCCGCATGAACTTCTTTGGCCTTCTCAACTTCCAGGCCCCCTTTCTGCCCTGGGTGCTCATGGGGTTTTCCTTGTTGTTGGGGAATTCAATCATTGTGGACCTCTTGGGTAAGCGTCTTCTCACTACTTTTTAAATTATTTACCTGTAAATTTATTTTATCACTATTTTTAGTGATTGTCTGGCCTTCATGCATAACTGTTGTAGGATTATGTCATAGTTACATCTCAAAGACTACAATATTAGTTCATTAATTTTTAATAATTATACTGACGTCCTGCCGGGCTCGGTGGCTCAGTCTGTAATCCCGTGCCTTTGGGAGGCTGAGGTGAGTGGATTGCCTGAGCCCACGGGTTCGAGACCCGCCTGGGCAGCGAGACCTCATCTCTACAATAAATCAAAAAATTAGCCGGGCGTGGTAGCGCGCGCCTGTAGTTCCAGCTACTTGGAAGGCTGAGGCGGAAGGATCACCGGACCCCAGCAGGTCGAGGCTGCGGTGGCCAGGAGCGGCCACTGCACTCCAGTCTGGGCGACAGAGTGAGACTCCAACTCAAAAAAAACCCAAAAAAACAAAATTATACTGACGTCCTAAATATAAGCAATTTATGTTGCTAGGTCCACTTATAATAGTAATTTTTGGTCCTTTCCCTCATCCTTTATTTCTGGTTGACTCTAGGTATTGCAGTTGGACACATATATTTTTTCTTGGAAGATGTATTTCCCAATCAGCCTGGTGGAATAAGAATTCTGAAAACACCATCTATTTTGTGAGTATTTAACACTAGGTTATGTGTTCCATGCAGTCAAACCAGGACAGGGTCCATGATCCATGTTTTCTTGGGCTCTCCTAGCTCCTAGTACACATAGTTGTTGTCAATAAATATTTGTGGACTGAGCAATCTGGTTGCACTTTAGGAGCACTGGGATTGGGTAGGAGCACACAGTGCCAGGGTTGTGGCAAGAGTGAGATTAGTAGGCTCAGGATGTCATGTGGTGGGGTGCGTAACTTGGTAGTCGTGCCGGATAACCACTAGAACTTCCTGACCCTGGATGAGCCTGCTGGTTTTATGAAAGCTGCTGTCCAAGGTTAGAGAGGTAAGGTAGCAAAATGGGCAAAACTGATGAAAATTTCTAGTGGTGGAATTTTTGGCCTACCAAGCAAGTGGTTAAGCTAAGCTGTGAGGTACAATAGAAATAACTCTGGATGGAAGCCAGGTGTAGCTGTTCCACTGACCAGCCATATGATTTTAAGCAAATCCTTTCCTTTTTTGTGCTTCAGTTTCCCGAGATAGAGCTTTGATTTATAAGACCTTTCTACTCCAGAATTTTGTGTCCTTGGGAAATACTACATTAAAAAGGGTTCACTTGGGAAAAATGTGTTTTGGTTACAAAATGCTTCTTATAGAATAGTTAAGCAAAAAAAAAAAAGAAAGTAAAATCATAATCCCTCCATTTAAATATAGCAGTGGCTACCACTGTTGACTTTTTGATACATATTCTTCAGTTTTGTACTGTGTACTTTTTTTTTTTAAGTTGGACTCTCACTCTGTCATCCAGGCTGGAGTGCAGTGGCATGCTCACAGCCACCGCAGCCTCTGCCTGCTGGGCTCAGGGGATCCTTCTGCCCCAGCCTTCCAAGTAGCTGGAACTACAGGCACACACCATCATTCCTGGCTACTTTTTTTTTTTTTGATTGATTGATTGTAGAGATGAGACCTTGCCAAGTTGACCAGGCTGGTCTCGAACCTGTGGGTTCAGGCAGTCCTCTCACCTCAGCCTCCCAGAGTGCTGGGATTATAGATGTGAGCCACCGCACCTGGCCAACTGTGTACTTTTTTAAAATGTTGAACAGCGGCAACCCCCCTGGGTCCCCTCCCACTGTGGGAGCTTTTCTGTCCTCTCAATAAATCCTGCTTTCAAAAAAAATTAAAATGTTGACCTGGGTATGGTAGCATGCACTGGTAGACCTAGTCACTTGGGAGGTTGAACCCAGGAGGTTGTGGCTGCAGTATACTATGATCATACTAGTGGATAGCCACTGCTATTCTTGGGCCGGGCCTTTATAATAGCCACTGCATTATAGTCTGAGGAACATGGCAAGACCTTATTTCTTTAAAAAAAAAAAAAAAAAAAATTGCTATTTCTAATTACTTTTTAAACTTAATGTGTCATAATCATTTTTTCATAATAAATGTCTTACAAAATATTTTGTCTTACAAAATATTCCAGTTATGGATATACCATAATTTTACTAACCCCTTGTGGATGAACATTGACATTAGTTCTTTTCCTTTCTATAACTAGACTGGTGAATATTCTTGCAGCTAAATCTACATATATCCATGATTATCTTTTAAAGGATAAATTCATGGAAGTGGAATTGCTATTTTGTTGCCAAAATGCCTTCCAGAATGGATGTTCAAGTTACATTTCCACCAGCAATGTGTAAAGTTCATTATCCCACCCCTTTATCAAACAAGGGAGATATTTTATATACCCTTTCCAACTTTTATAACTGTAGGATAATATCTTACTGTTTTTTATGGTTTAAAAAAAATTTTTTTTGAAACAATTTCATACCTGCAAATTACAAATACAGTAAAAGAACATTTTCCTCTGGTATTATAAAGTAATTTGTCAGTCGAATCCCTCACCATTCCCCTTAATATGTGTTTTCTATAAATAAGGATATACTTCTATATAGTCAAAATCAGGAAATAAACATTAGTATTCAGACCCAATTCTAGTTTTGGCAGTTGTCCTAATGTTCTTTTTTTTTTTTTTTTGAGTCACAATCTCACTTTGTCACCCAGGCTGGTGTGCAGTGGCACACTCACGGCCACCACAGCCTTGATCTGCTGGGCTCGGGTGATCCTCCTGCCTCAGGCTTCCGAGTAGCTGGAACTACAGGCACGCACCACCATGCCTGACTAATTTTTTTATTTATTATAGAGTCGAGGTCTCGCCAAGTTGCCCAGGCTGGTCTTGAACCCCTGGACTCAGGCAGTCCTCTCACCTTGGCCTCCCACAGTGCTGGGATTACAGGTGTGAGCCACTGCTCCCGACTCTAATGTTCTTTATAGCAAAAAAGCCAGTCTAGATTCAGGTGTTGTATTTTGTTATCATGTCTCTTTAGCCTCCTTCAGTTTGGAATAGCTCCTCAGTCTTTCCTTAACTTTCTTTCTTTTTTTTTTTTTTTTCCGAGTTGGAGTCTCACTCCATTGCCCAGACTGGAGTGCAGTGGCCACTCCCAGCCATCACAGCCTTGAACTGCTGGGCTCCGGCGATCCTTCCGCCTCAGCCTTCCAAGTAGCTGGAACTACAGGCGCGCGCTACCATGCCCGGCTCATTTTGGATTTATTGTAGAGATGAGTCTCGCCAAGTTGCCCAGGCGGGTCTCGAACCTGCAGGCTCAGGCAATTCACTCTCCTCAGCCTCCCAAGGCATGGGATTACAGGCTGAGCCACTGAGCCCGGCTCTTTCCTTAACTTTCATGACATTGACATTTTTGAAGATTATGAGCCCATTTTGTATAGTATCTCTTAATTTGGGTTTGTCTCATGTTTCCTCACATATAAGTTCAGGTTTTGCATCTTTGGCAGGAATATCAGAGAACTGTGTTTTAATAGCATAGGATTTCAATTTGCCATATTGGTCAAAATGGTGGTAATCACCCCACATGAGTGATTCTAACTTTTTTCCTTTTATATTTTTCTTCCCATATTTTATTAAACTTAAAGATTTTCAAATTTAAAATTTCCAGACTTAAAGATTACTTAATTAAGGTTTGTTTCAAACATCTCCACCGTAAAATTACTTTTTTTCTTTTTGTAGTTAAGTATCTACTGAAGAGTTACTTTGAGACTGTGTAAATATCTTTCTCTGTATCAAATTTCAATTCATTTCTTTTTTTTTTTTTTTTGAGTTGGAGTATCACTGTGTCACCCAGGCTGGAGTGTGGTGGCATGCTCATGTCCACTGCAGCCTCAACCTGCTGGACTCAGGCAATCCTTCCATGTCAGCCTTCCAAGTAGCTGGAACTACAGGCATGTGCCGGCTAATTTTTCTTGATTTATTGTAGAGATGAGGTCTCATCAAGTTGCCCAGACTGGTCTTGAACCCATGGTCTCAGGCAGTCCTCTCACCTTGGCCTCCCAAAGTGCTGGGATTATAGGTGTGAACTACCGCGCCCAGCCTTCAATTCATGTCTTTAAATTTGTATGGATTCATTGGTTTATATTTTATTCATGAATTATAATCCCTTATTATCATTGTTTATTTTGACACTTGTATTGGCCAGTTGGGAACCCCTTCATACTGTCTTCTAAGTCCTTTTCAACATAATTCCATCATATATATGTATGTATGTTTGTGTATATATATATTTTTTTAAGAGACAGGGTCCCACTCTGTTGTATAGCTTATTGTAACCTCCCGATTCTTGGGTTCAAACATTCCTCCCATTTTAGGCTCCTGAGTAGCTGGGACTGTAGGCAAGCACCACCATGCCCAGCTGATTTTCTTTTGAAAATTTTTTGTAGAGTCAGAATCTGTGTTGTTCAGGCTGTTCTTGAACCCCTGACCTCAAGTGCTCCTCCCACATCTGGTTCCCAAATGGGCTACTACTTTTTTCTTTTTTTTAGCAATTGTTTTCTGGCCCAACAACAAGATATACCAAGCTTATCTTATGTTCTCCTTGACCCACTCCTATAATCAGCTATTTCTTCAAGGAGCCCTGGTTTTGTTTTAGTGGAGAATGGTATTTAGACACCAAGATTTGGATGTCAAACATATTCATTGCTATTCCCAGATCCACTCAGTGAATAGAGCAGTAGAATTATATGTAGGTTTAATAATATGTATATCATAAAATATATAGATATTTTAGCACTGTTTTTTTAAACATGGGTACCTGGGTTTATACTGATAGTCCCAGTTCTAGTACAACTTCACATGAGTCATTCTAGTTTTTTCCTTTTATATTTTTCTCCCATATTTTATTATGAAAATTTCCAAACTTACAGAAAATCAGAAAAAATAGTACAGTTAGTTTCATTTACCCACCACATTGATTCTAATTGATATTTTACTATTCTTGCTTTTTACATACATATCCCTCTATCCAGCTTTCCAATTCAAAATGTGTATTCCATGGTGTGCATACTCAATTCTGTGTATACTTTAGCATGTATATCATTAACTAGAGTTCAGTATTTATATACAAATCTTAAGTGTATCAATTGATGAGTTTTGCTACGTGCGCACAACAGTGTAACTATCAAGACAAGGAGAAGTTCCGACTAGAAAGTTCTCTTATCCCCCTTCCCTGTCAATCATTGCCCTATCTCCCAAGAAACAATTGCTATTCTTATTTTGTTCCTCCAGAGATTAGTTTTGTGTGTTCCACAACTTCGTGAGTGGAATCATACAGTGTGCATGTACTCTTTTATGTTCAACATGTTTTTGAAACTCACCTATGTTGTTATATGTATTAGTGATGTTCTTTTTCATTGCTGAGTAGTATTCCATTGTATGAGTATACCATCTGTTCTTTCCACTGAGTGAGAAACATGATTCCTATCACCGTTAATATATTTACTTACCTAATTATAATATGTAACCAGTCTCCCATCATTATCCCCCTCTTCCCCATGTCTTGCTCATCTCACTTGTCAGGTTCCCCAGGCCATGCTCATGGGGATGCCCTTCTCACCCAATTCAGGCTGATAGTCTCATAAGGCCACTTCCATGTTTGCATGACCCAGCTGGGCTCTTGGCTTCTTAAACCAAGCTGCTCCTCCCACCTCCATCCTGTTTTGGGCCACTTGGACTCTACTCCCCTGTATGGGCACCTACTTTGTTCTGCCCCGCCTAGTGTTTGGGCAGTAAAATGGGTTATACTTTCTTTTGGTTATTGTGAGAGCAAACATTTTCATGTTATTGACCATATAGATAGCCTTTTTGAATTGCCTGTTCAGCCCTTTTCCCATTTTTCTATTGATATGTTTTATTTGTTTTTTTGTTTTTTGAGTTGGAGTCTCATTCTGTCACTCAGACTGGAGTGCAGTGGCCGCTCCCGGCCATCGCAGCCTCGACCTGCTGGGCTCCGGCGATCCTTCCGCCTCAGCCTTCCGAGTAGCTGGAACTACAGGCGTGCGCTACCACGCCCGGCTAATTTTTGATTTATTGTAGAGATGAGGTCTCGTCAAGTTGCCCAGGCGGGTCTCGAACCCGCAGGCTCAGGCAATCCACTCACCTCGGCCTCCCAACGTGCCGGGATTATAGGCTGAGCCACCGAGCCCAGCGATATGTTTGTTTTTATTGTTAATTTTTAGGAATTTTGAAAGTTCATTTGAATATAGATACTTTTTCTGATTCCAGTGTAAATTAGAAGTTTTTCCACTTTTATCAACTGTGGCAATTACAATTAGAAACGTAAGTGCAGGCCAGGCTCGGTGGCTCATGCCTTTAATCCCAGCATTTGGGGAGGCCAGGCTGGGAAGATTGCTTGTGTGAGACCAGCCTGGACAACATAGTGAGATTCTGTCTCTACAAAAAATTAACCAGACATGGTGGTGCATACTTGTAGTCCCAGCTACTCAGGAGACTAAGGTTGGAGGATTGATTGGGCCCAGGAGCTTGGGCTGCAGTGAGCCATGATTGTGCCATTGCGTTCCAGCTTGGGTGACAGAGTGACTCAAAAAAGAAAGAAAGAAAGAAAAGGAAGTGTAAATATAAACAGAGGATGCTGCTTTAATGGCTCATTCTTTTTTTTTTTTTGAGTTGGAGTCTCACTCCGTCACTCAGACTGGAGTGCAGTGACATACTCCCAGCCACCACAGCCTTGACCTGCTGGGCTCTGGCGATCTTTCCGCCTCAGCCTTCCAAGTAGCTGGAACTACAGGTGCATGCTATCACGCCTGGCTAATTTTTTATTTATTGTAGAGATGAGGTCTCGCCAAGTTGTCCAGGCGGGTCTTAAACCCCTGGGCTCAGGCAATCCACTCACCTCGGCCACCCAAAGCACTGGGATTACAGACTGAGCCACTGAGCCCAGCCAATGGCTCATTCTTTAATGAGGTTTTAAATCACTATAAAATAGTATTTTTAAAGTCTTTTGGGTGTTTACTATCCCTTCTTATGCTCTGTTGTAATTTTTTTGGGGATTCCTTGTTAATTTTTTAAATTTTAATTATAGTAAAATTCACCTAACAAAATTTACTATTTTAATTATTTTTAAATGTTCGGTGGCATTAAGTACATTCATATTGTTGTGCTACCATCACCACAATTCATAGAACTCTTTTCATCTTGTAAAACTAAAGCTCTGTACTTAGTAAACAACTCTCTATTCCCTTTAGTCCTGGGCAACCATTCTACTCTGTCTATTTTGTTCCTATGAATTGGACTATGTTCTTAATATAAGTGAGATCATACAGTTTTGTCCTTTATTTTTATTTTAAATTTATTTATTAGAGATGGGTTCTTGCTATGTTGCCCAGGCTGATCTTGAACTCCTGGGCTCGAGCAGTCCTTCCACCTCAGCTTCCCAAAGTGTTAGGATTGCAGGCGTGAGCCACCATATCCAGCCAGTATTTGTTCTTTTTTGACTGGTTTATTTTACTTAGCGTCATTGTTCATATTATAGCATGTGTCTTAATTTCCTTCCTTTATAAGGCTGGATAATATTCCATTATATGTATATACCACATTTTGTTTATTTATTTATCTGTTGATGGACACTTGGGTGATACCTGGTTATGGGAAGACATTCATGACATATAAGTGAAATTCATGTTGCAAAACAATAGTAGTATAATCTAATTTTTGTAAAATGACATATGTAAAAGTTCTAAAAGAGTAATCAAAACACTAACAGTAGTTATCTCTGGGGATTTTGGATATTTTGCTCATCTATTTCGTTTTTTCTCTACGATTAACATGGATTGCTTTTGTAGCAAAAATTAGTAAAGGAAGTGAAAGCTAATATAAGTATTAAATAATTATGGATACTTTAAGATATGACAGACTGTTTAAATTGGCAGGCACATGTAATGCTTATCCATTGGTGGAAGCCCTGTAGGGAGCTGGGCTTATCTTTTAGTTCTTAGGACCTAAGATGACTCTGGGACTAAATTATACCTGTTGCCTGTCTTTTAGGAAAGCTATTTTTGATACACCAGATGAGGATCCAAATTACAATCCACTACCTGAAGAGCGGCCAGGAGGCTTCGCCTGGGGTGAGGGCCAGCGCCTTGGAGGTTAAAGCAGCGGTGCCAATAATGAGACCCAGCTGGGAAGGACTTAGTGCTACCCATTAGGATTATTTTATCCTGTGCAAAAGTGTGGACACTTTTGAAGCTTGGCAGATTTTAACTCCAGAAGCACTTTATGAAATGGTACACTGACTAATTCAGAAGACATTTCCAGAAGCTTGCCAGTGGTTCCTCACTACACTGGTACTGAAGGTGTAATCTCTTGGAGCCAAAAAAACTGGAGAAATGAATATCCTGCCACCTCTAACAAGTACATAAGTACTTGAATTCTGTGATACAAGGCAGAGCTTTTTCTTCCTCTTTTTTGATAGAGGAGGCTATGGTGTAAATGGAAGTTTCAGAGAGGGCAAAATAAAACTGAATTCCATCTCTCTTTCACTGTTTTAAAGCTTTGTGTGTGATCTTTTAAATTATGATAATGTATTCTAGCTCCTGCATAAGTCTGAGCTCAGAGCAGTTTCCATGCCTGCTCTTTCTGTGTCTTCACAATTTTCAGTGGGATTTCATTTCAAGATTGGAAATACGTGGCTGTTATGCTGTGGCTGTATACATTTTACTAATTCAGAATGTGAGCTTTCATAAGAAGGTTTATTTCTGACATCCAGATAGTTTACTCTCTATCTGGGTTTCACAAAAAAAGTTGTCATCATGGAAAAAGCAGGGGGGATGGTTTTTATAGCGTATGAATTCAGCTATAGGAAAGTCAGCTGTAAGCAAAAAGCTAATGTGGCATCTTATTTACACTGCTACATTTCTCTATTAAGAAATATCCAGAGAAAAACTGGTAGTGGCCACAATTTTTTTCTGTTTTTTTAACTATAGGAAGATTTTCATTAGCTCTGGAAAACAAGAAAGAATGCTGACTTTGGAACCAGGTGAACAGATATCAGCAGGCATATGCTCCTCCCAGGCCTTTGGCTGGTTAACATTTGTCATTTGCTTCATGAAGAACAGAACTTTTTCAGAGCCAAGTACCTGGATTACCTTCCCAATCAGGTAGAAGTTAGGGTACACAGAATAGACATCTGTGTTTCACTAAATACTAGCTTATAATCTTAAGTCTTCCCTTGGGTCCCAGAAGGTTTGCATTTATACTGTTTAAATAACTCAGAGAACCCAGAAGAGTGAAAAGGGCACCCCTAGGAAAAAGATGATTTCAAATTGCTTTCATAAACAGGGTATGAACATAGGGCCCTTTCCCAAAACTGGATTGTATCTATAGTAGTTCAACCTTGGTAACTTTCCAGAATGTGAGATTTTCCTCAGAAAGATAGATATAAGCTTATATTAAACATAATAAGCATCCTTAGTGGGAATTTTCAGATTGTTTTTGAAGTGAGAAGTATTTTAGTGTCTTTAAATGGAGTTGCACAAGTAATGGAATTTAATATAAGTATTTTACATGTTGCTAGTAACTTTGAATATATTTGTTGTAATTTTATGGAATTTGGGTCAATGGGACAGATTTTTCCCCTAGGTGGTTTAAAAAACTTTTTAACGTTTAAATGCCAATTTTAGAGTGTATAATCCTTATGGGATTCTTAAGTTTTATCATATCTTGTTTTCAAGAAAGCTTTATCAGTGACTTTTAATAGAGGTTTTTTTTGTTTGTTTGTTTTGGGCTTCTCTAGTTTTATTTCTTCTCTCTGAATTAACTTTGAGTTACCCAATTAATGGAATTGTGGTAAAATTTTAATCCTAAATTCTATTCACTGACTGTTCATTTAAGTAGGGAATATCTGTACACTTTACTGACTAGGTAAAACAGGAAAAATTTTGAATGTATGACCTAAAGGCAGTTGGTTATGGAATTTTGATTTTTGATTTTATAAAATGTCAATTTCTCGAGGTAGGATGTGTCCTGGGCATTGGTAATTTCAATTACTGACCTCTTGTCAATTTGACTAGCCCCACAACCACCATTTCTAGCTCTGTGTTGCTTGACAGGATTCTTGTGCTTGCCTGGACATAAGGAAATGTCCTCATTTCCCCCAACTTACCTCTCAGTCGTGATTCTTCCAGAACACACTTCCTTTTTGTATGTAAGTCAACTGAAAGTGAGATTTGATATACGGAATTTTGTGACCAACTAACCTTACAAATAATTTGAGGGATTCCTGGATTCTACTAGTAATACTGAAAAGCACACCTAACAAAGGCCTAGATTTTTGTTATGGAAAGACAGTATACGTTCATTTAAAAATAAATGGACGTGGACATTGCATCTCCCTTGGAGATACATTTTATATACATTTTGGTGTGTTTTTTCACTATGGATTTCTATTTGTTTCTCTCACTTGTTCTTCTGTGTCACTCTTATGTCCTAATATCTTTCATACCTCTTGTGTAGAGCACAAGAGTTCTTGAATCTTAGTAATGAAACCCTGACTCTGTTTCTGGGGCCTCTGAAAACGAGGAAATACTGGAGTTATTGCCATGTTGGGTAACAAGCTTCCTAGAATTGTCACCTATCCTGGTGTTTTATGTTGTTGCTATGTTTTCCTTTGACAGGTGAGCTTCATCTGTGTTAGTCATGACCCTGCCATTATTTCTTGTGGTCTGCATGATATCCCTAGGCTACTTAAACATATTTTATGAGTTTGCATTAAAGCGGTTGAACTTTGAATGATCAAGTCACTTCTCTGCTTAGAAATCCAAAGTGACTTCTTAGCAAGCCCTTATATCAAATGCATACTTTCTGAATTTTTTTGAACCTTACTCCCACTTAACAGGAACCTCAATTTAAGTCTTTTAAGGCCTGGCTTTGTTCCTGACTTTTCAAGAAATTTTGACTCTAAGGCCTATTTTATTGTCTGTCTTCTTTAAATCCCTATAAAGCTTCAAGTCTGTATGACACTCTTAACACCAAATTATATATTGTCTTGTACTGTTCCTAGCTGGTACATGTATATTAGTCTTGTCTCCCCCATGAGAATGTAAGCTCCTTAAGGGCAGGGACCATGTCTTGATTTTTGTATCCGCCACAGTGCCTAGCACAGTGCTTGGCACATGGGTGCTGAATAAATACTTTGTTTATTGATCAGCAAACTATTATCTGGTATTTTTAATTATAAAGTAATTAATGTGTGCATGCAAACTTGGACCTAGTTACTGAGGCTTGTGATTGTCTCCACAAGTGAGATGGAACAGAACTGAACATGATCAAGGGCAGTGGTTTGGTGGACACACAAGCCAAAGTGACCACCAGCTGGTATGGTCATGGTTAGACCAGATAGTTAAGTCCACAGAGCATCCCACATATCAATAATAAACTGTGTCTGACACTTCACCTTTCATAGGAAGAGCCAGGATGTTCTCTGCATATGATAAAGCCAAAGTCAGTGAACCACTAGAGACTTGGAGAGAGAGAGCAGATTTTAGGCTACTAATGGGAAAAATGTGGGCAACATGGCTTGATGCATATATGAAATGTAATTTTTGAGCTCTTTGGTCCTCTTAGCTTTGAAGCTGCAGAGTAGCTGGGTTATTAGGCCAGAGATGTTATTGATGAGTTGCATACAGATAAGTTACCTACTTATGTGCTTTCTTTTGCCTGTACCATTTTTTAACAGTAAGCCATTATTTGAAAAGGACAGATTTTCACACGGAAAGCTTTACTGTTGACTTTTATTGAAAAAATTGGAAGATAACAGACCTGCATGACGGTCATTGCTTAGAAATGATTAGTGGCTATACTAGAGATGGAATGTGCTCTATGATAGATGGTTTCTCCTGTTTATATTACCTAAATTCTTGTAATCATTTGAAATAATGACTCCACACTAGTTTACTTTGGAAACCACACTGGGCAGAAGGACTGGTAATCCATCTTTTACTTTCTGAAGGTTCACAATTTAAGAACATTTAGTTATTCCCTTGTAGTTTTGGGTTGCCGTTCTAAATATTTAAGAGTAGGAAGTGAAAATTTGTCAATTTATTCTTAAATACATGTCTGCTATGGATTCCACATTTTCAGTAATCCCTGGTCACTGCTACACTGTTAGCAGCAAGAGGAAAATTATCTCTGACCTGGAAGAAAGGGAAAGGAAAATTTTTAACAGGCTCCCATATAGGGTGAATTTCATGGAAATGAGCTTCAGAAGATGTCCTTCAGGTAGGTTGAAGCTTATAGTGTAGTCTCTGGAAACCGCATTTCCTGAATGCAAAGAACTGCCTGCAAGCTTTCTTTTGTTGTTGTTTTTTGTGGTGAATTAACAAACCATCCAAGAGCTTTCAATTTAGGAGGGAAAGTTATACCCTATTTTTGATAGGATTTCTGAATCTTGTCACTGACTGGATTGCGTATGATGGGGCTAGAGAGCTGTGTGGAGAACTTGAAAGTGGCGGGGATGAGGAAAAGGAAAGGTAAAAGACAACTGCAGCTTCACTGAACTCTTTCTCTACTGAAGCAGGCCACATCCATTGGAACAGTCACTTTCTGAGGAAAATATATGATTGTTGTAGAAACATAAATGTGCTTTTCTGTAACACAAGAGGATCAACAGTATCCTTTTCAAAATTAAGATTTTGTGATATCTGAATAGCTGAATGACTTAAATCTCAGAAGACTCCGTTTCAAGTGTAAGTTAAGGATAATATCAGCATCTAACTTGCAAATTGTTTAGAGGATTCAATAATGCAAATATTTGTGTTTCTTATTGATTTTACAGAATTAAGTACTTTCCCTAGAAGAGTGACTATTATTGTGGACAAAGAAGGGGAAAACAAGTGTTTACTGAAATGAGTGTTAATAAAACAAAACAATTTCGTTATCCAAGACTACAGCCCCACGGAACCAGACACCCTGTTTTGCTCAGTTGTCGCTCCGGGCTTTTTTCTGGTCGTACCTCGGACTCTTCTTTTCCCGTCCCCAGGAAGTGAAAGACTTCCTAAACCTCCAATGCTTGCTGGGAGTTGCAGTCCTTTTCCTAAAAAGCTGGGGGCAGCCGTGAGGCATCGGTGGTCGCGGGGAGCCGCCCGCACGTGGCGGAGAAGGGGTGGTGCGTGCCAGCTGTCAGCACCTGCGAGGGGCAGGAGCTGCCGGCGCTTGCGCCTCCAGTCGCGGTGCCCTCCCGACATGCCGGAGGAGGCGGGCTTCCCGCCCGCCAAGAGATTCCG